AGAGAGAGAGAGAGCACCATGTTGCTATTAGGTACTATTATGGTCGGTCCACTTATCATCTTAGGTTGTACCTACCGTGATTGTTTAGAGACATCTCCGGAGATAATCCATAACGATTTCAAACAAACGAAAAACGTGAGTCGCGTGTCAGATGAGTCCCGAGAGACGCATCAAAGCGAAAATAATAATATAATACACAACAACGATAATGATGGTAATAATAATAGGTACAAACAATATTAGTGTAACAACTGAGTGTACACAGAGTAATAATATAAAGAGATAAACTAACATATTATTATACCTACTAGCTTGTATGCGTTAGTGTAGTAAACAGTAAGACTAAAACCAGTAGGGCTATACAAAAGAAAGAAAAAGTCCATATTGTTAGGCGATTGGTACTTTATAATATGATGAAACAATTTTTAACCCCTTATTATATAATATTGCTGTTTTTTCAAGATACCGTTATTATTGATATCTCATTACCACGATAATATATTGAATGATATTTTTTTTTCTTCTTGCTAGGCAGACTGACTTTAGTCCTACTGTTTGTGTCACAGTATAACTACTAAAGCCACCCCTAAATTAAAATCATATCGTATCATATTATTATCGACTAACTGAAGTGTGAAGATGGTGCCAAAAAAAAAAGAATAACGCCAAAAAAAAGATGGCAAGATTTTGGAGACAATCTTTTTTTTTGATAAATCTAATATTTAACGTTTAAAATGGTATGTTTTTACTTTTTTTAAATAGCTACAATTTTTTTTACCTTGTTATTTTCAAATTCGGATATGACATTGGCTCCAAAATCTCTTATCGTTTATCACTAATCTCTTATCATTTATCTCATCACCTTTCTCTTATTGCTAATCTGTTATCTGTTATCATTTATCTATTATCTATTATAACGGAAAAGTGTAAGTGTAACGCGAAAATGTTGACATGAAATTTATTGTATCCAGCCCAATAATAACATATCAATGTTAAAAATATATAAAATCACTGACAAAGATGCCGAGATAGACAGAAAAATAAATTGAGTACCGAAAAAGAGTTATTGTAATTACTAAACGAATAATTACACTTTACAGTTTAAGCTATAATTAAAATTGTGCAAACAATTTTCTATACCTAACTCCTTAATAAATAGGGGGGGGGGTATCATGTTCTCTTAAGAAGTAAGCGAAAAGGCGAGCTGCAACAACTATTGAAACCATGCGATACAAAAAATGTATGGCTTATCAGTTGTAATATTTTTATTTGAATTCACCTTTTGATCTGTACAAGTTGACAATGGTTACACCGTGTAGTGTTTAACCAAAGTATTTATTTGTATTAAAGTGGTCACGGTGTCGCTCGCCTTCTTGATCACTTCGTTGCTGAGCACAAGTCGTTACATGCAGATGTTACAGCCTTATATATTTTTACTTTATTGTTGAAACGTTTAAAAGGATGAACTAAGAACTTAGTTCGTGTTTAAAAGTAATGGCCCGCTGATAAGTCTGTTGATAACCAAAACGGATTGGCTCGAGACGACAGCGTAGGCATGTATAACCGGAATGGTAAATTTGTCAATTATTAACCGCTTCCTGTGGAAAAACCAGAAACGGTTTTTTATAGTGTGTGTATATATATATATATATATAGGTCACCTTCTCAAAAAAACATCTAATGTTTGATCGGATAAAATCTGCGCGCTCTCGTTATATAGGATGAGTAATATATCAAAGAGGACTGGTTTGTTATAATGATGTGAGTTTGTTTGTTTTTTTTTTCTTCATGGGAAAATATTTTTAACTTTTAAGAGTTTTGTTTTGTTTTTTATCAATGCCTCTATTTCATCTAACCTAGGTATAAACCCTAACTTAAGTCGGCCTATTGAACACCTCGTATTCAATACGTCTAGCCAGGATTGCATAACTCAAAGGGAAGGTTTACAGTTGTTATGTGTATCAACGACAAGTATATATATTTGAATTATTTGAAAAATTACTCCAATAAGGTACGACTACCTAATTTGGTAGGACCAGTCACTCCGGGACGTCTAGAATAGTTGACAAATTAATACAAGTTAAGTATAAGTAATTTGTACGGGCATTTCGGTAAATTAATACAGGCACGGAAAACATGAATCAAAAGCAAATCATAAGTAACGAATAATTATGGTAGTGGTTTATTTTTTGTGTGTGACGATGAGTCAGTTCGCACTTTAATTTATGGTCCAACTATATTATTTTTTATGCTACCAAGGCCGGAAGGTATTTGTATCTCATCTGAATGTAAAACTGTAGAATATGACGTATGCTTGAACAAATTCAAAAAGTGTAACCAATTATTACTCTAAGATATTATTATACTTTCCCAGGGCCGAGCGAGTGGCGGTTAGGTCATGTTATGTTATGTACCTTCTAATGCATGATATTCGTGCAAAGGCACTTTATTAAATTTTTTTGACAACTACAGCGATAAATTGCGTTGGCGACTGGTAGTCAAATGAAATGAATGATATTGTATGCTTTTAGTAGGTATACACAAATAGGTACGGTCAATTAGCGGCGACTGCTGTCGTCGTCATGGCTCGGGAAAACGATCTCGGGTCGCCCACCGGTTGTCACGAACGTTTCCCACAAGTCTTGTGGAGCTCAAGGATATGTTTTTTTATTTTTATTATGCACAGCAAAAATACGACAAATGTCATGCTGATCGCGGTAATTGCTCAAACATAATAATAATAATGGCTTGTTTTGTGTGTGTGTGTGTGTGTGTTCAAATGTGGTGCTCCTTTGGTCGTAAATCCAACAGGATAACATCGACCAAATTTCGTTTGTTGTCCCACGCACTTCCATTTATGAATATGCAACTGCATGTCAAATCGCATTGGACGCAAGACCACTGAACTCAATATTATATGGAACGAGTATTGAGATTTTGAAAAATGCCCCCCCCCACCCCCGGGAAGCAGCCATTTTGTGTACCGATATTTTTGGTAAATCATAGTCATGTTAGGTTAGCTGATGTATACAAATAGATAGTCCACAGCAATGTAAATATTGGAAGAGTGTCTGCTCTATAGTGTTCACAAATGTCACGCAAATAAAACAGGAGCCTAACATTTAGTTTGATTTTTTCACTTTTAAATAATAATACTTAATCTAAACAAACTGACAACGAATATCCACCGATTAATCTAAATTAGAAAAAATCAATATTTACACATAAATATTTCACACGTAATATTATGTGTAATTGTAAATAATATGTCTGAAAATACTAATAATTTTTTTTTTTAATTTTAAATTTAGTTTTGCTTTTTTCGTACCTTACATTTTTAATAATATTTCTCGATGTCCAATTAAAATCTTTTAGTAATTTACATTGAATTACTTGTGTTACAACGTATTCCAAATGTATTTGACAAACTTCATTATTAATTAAAACAGGAGGCAAATTATTATTTTTTTTTTCAATGGCCAAAGATTCTATAAGAAAAATGATAAAAACTGACAAGCAAAAAACTAAAAACACTTTTTACGTCCGTGGCCAAAATAATCCAAAAAATATATTTATAAGTTTTGAAAATATGACGATTATGCATGTTAATAATCATGATTGTTTTCTTAAAACGTACCAAAGAATGTCTAATGACATTGGGTGTATTGAGGGCGGAAGTGAGGTTAATATAAACTAATTATGTAAATTTAAGAAATAAAATTCACACCTTTTTTAAACAACATTTACAATCTGTACATAAAGACAAATATCTTCTTCTTCATTTATCTAGCAATAATTTTAAGTATGCCGACCAATTTTAATGTAAAAACATATTAAGTATTTCTAGTTATAAAATTTTAAAGTTATTTTTTTCTGAGTACGGCGAAAGTTTGATAAAAAAAGTTTTTCAGCCGAGTCTGCAACCACGAAAGAGCATTTTCATGTCTCGTTGAAGTACCGAATAAATGTAGAGTAGTGGTGGAATTATAGATAATTATATAGTATATTAACGAGCGGTAACAAACTAGGATAATATAAAACGTCAAGTTTCTGGCTAAAATTGTAGTGTTTATTATCGGGCTTAAAACAATTCATAGAGAAATTGGGCCCTTAAACTGTTTTGAATTTATTATTTAGTTCTAATTTGAACGTTGAACGTACAACATATCTCTTATCTCCTATATCTTACCCCTATCACTAATCCCCTATACCCTACCCCCATATCCCACCCCTATCTCATATCTCATATCAGATAACAGCGTAACACTTTTTTGGTAACACTTTTTTCGTTACGCTTTTTTCGGTTATGTGCCAGAGCTAATTCCCACCCCCCACCTGATCTTCATCCCCATTTATTTTTTGGTAACGCATTTTGCGTTATAATATTTTCGGTTATGTGCCAGAGCTAAGACATGAAAACGTCAAAAAGACTTTTGTACAAGTCATTTTTCGGCGCATCTATTGGACGGATTTCAATTTTTATATGAACTTACTAATTTCTCCATGGGTAACAATTAATAACATTTAAAATTAACCATAAAAAATAGTTAGTACACGATTTCAAAATCTATAGTGTTTTCACTTTTCGTCAATGCGCAAGCACTAAAAACACATGCCTCTGGAATGCATATTAAATATTTATTTTTATATATTACATATTTTTTTATAAATTTTATTACAAAAATTTGTTACCAATATATATTTATGGTTTTGTAATTCAGTATTTCCATGTAAATTAACAATATTAGCATATTTAATAAATTAATTTAAACGACTATACTTCATTCTATATGGTACCTTAATTAGGCAAGCTTAAGATTCCATAAAATTGCCAACGACAGACAACACTATTTGCATGCACAGCGAATATGATTATTATTTTCTTTTTTAAATACAAGCCAGGATTTTAAACGTTTAAGGCTCCGAGGCAATTCGAAACGAAAAAGCGCATTAATTTATACTGTAATCTGTAGTAATTGTTTTTTGATTTTTTTTTTCAGGATATTGGTCAGTGCTTTTGGAGCCCAGGTGATCTGCAACAGGATAGCTGGTCTGACGGCGGGTCAACGGAGGATTTGTGCCGCCGCACCCGACGCTATGGCCGCCGTCGGCCACGGTATAAGAATAGCCAAACAGGAGTGCCAACAACAGTTTAGCGCCCATCGGTGGAACTGTACCGGGCCGAGCAAAGGCAATCCGTTCGGACATTTACACACCACAGGTAACGACATCACATACATAGAGTTGCTGTCAAAAAAACTAAGTTGAGAGGGGGTTAAAAACAAAAAAAAACAAAAAATGTAAAAAAAATTGAGATCACATTGCACAAAAACACTGTGTAAAGGAAAAAATTAATTTCTTATTAAACCCAGTGAGCTATTAAGTGGTTTACGATAAGTTGATCGCTTTGTATAATATTTGAAAAGTAGTAACCGTGTACCAGAGAAATTTTGGTTCGTCGTTCTGGTTACACTGGAGTTCCTTTGGAAAAACACACTTTTACAGGTACTGCCGCTAAATTACCTGTGATAAGCTGTTAGACAAGAGAGGATTCCTTTGGCCACTCTTTGGGATTTCCTAGATGACATTTGACAGTTTGACAATGTTTGGATGTCAGATTGTGTGAATTTTCGTGTAATCCTAGTCTTGGGCGGAATTTCCTAAAAGGCAATATTGCTGTTTCTGCGATTGTGGTGATGTTTAGGAATTAGGTCAGAAAGTAGAGTTACAAGGAACAGCTGTGACTATTCCCAGACAAATATATTTAAACTCCGGTATAGTCCTAACATAAAAGTTTGACCGAAACGTTTAAATAACTTTACTGGTTCGGTTTGTTTGTCCTTTAAGCGAAATCAAAAATTAGCTACAGTTGTATTTTTCTTGTGACCGATGTTGGGAAAATGTCGATTTTGTTTAATGATGTATCAGATCAGTAAAATAGTCTGAAATAATGGAACCCTCGTGTCTTGTGAGACAACCTAACCGGAAGTAAATAAAATTGGTATTTTACTTAATTGAAGGCATGTCGAGTCGAAGCCTGAGTGATATTGAGGAAAACACCTGAGCAGTATTTATTTTTTATTTGATTGTTACAATGCGAAGACGGAATTATAATGTATTTTTCAAATAAATCGAATTCTTCTTCATCAAGTATGATCTTGGATAATTTGTCCAGCACTCGTAACATGTATATCCGACAGACAACACGGACTCGCGGTACACGGCTGTTTAAAATATTAATATAGATAATTATTTTACCCGTGCTAAGGTAAGACTTAAGAGAGCAAGTGATATAATGTCTATGTAGTTTTGTTGCCCACGCATAAGACAGTCCATGTCCGGCGCGATTATCTATATTAGGTTATTTGATTGATATTACGGTTTTTTAGGCGATGAAATAAAAAAAAAAACACCGTGATAAGTGAAATTATAACTAATTTTTATTCGGTTTATTGTAACGTTAATAATAATAACAATTAATCGCCACTAAATGCTTGTCGTGAAAGATCCGAGTGAGTAGGTATAAAAAAAAAAACACGTGGGGTTACTATATTAGAATGTCTACTAATTTCTCGCTTACAGGACGTTTGATCCGGTAGGTAGTTTATTTTCAAAAAAACAACTTAATTTATAATACTAAACGGTCGCCGGAGCTCTAATACGATTATAATAAAATATATTATCTTACACACGAACAGTACACCTTAAACGGATTCCTACATAATCGATTGTATGGACTTTTTTTTCGATAAATCAACTCGGTGGTTTCAATCGACGGGGAAAGGAGTATAAAATATTTAGTCTAAAATTAAAACGCGCCATATGTGTACTTAATAATAACCAGAAGCGTACCGACCGAGGAATTAGTCAAACAGGAAGAACCATAATTTGTTTTTTTTTCCAGAACTACTTTGGTGTCCCTAATCCATTATTGATATAATTCTAAAATTAAATCTTGATATTTATTTTACTACCATAAACAACAGTACAAAATACAGACTAAAGTGTATCACTAAGCGTTTGACGAGTAGTCGAAAATTTTCAGTTTTGTTTCATTACAAAAAAATGATATTCCTGGCCAGGTTTGCCTTCACGTTAAAAACTTAACAAATCATTAACTTACCTTAATCGTTAAAACTGATGTGTTATTATTTGTTATTTACTTTTGCAGTTATTTAGTTGAAAGCAAATCAATCGTGATTAAATATTTAATCATTAGTCTAGTAAAAAATGAAAAGTAAAAAAAAACTGAAAGGATAGGAAACGTTGAGTTACCAACCGTCATTAATTTAAAACAAGAGTACATTTTTTTAAATATGGATATGTGTTTAGCTTAGGGATAAATTTAAACTTTGGATGGACATTATAGCATCATAAAATTTCTTATCATTTGTCTCTTATTAAGAGCCATTATCACACGTTTTTTTATCACTGTATGATTATCAAACTCCTTTATCAGCTGTTTCTTATCACTATAGGCAAACTCCCCATAAATAATATGGTTGCGCCAACTACATTATTTTAGTTACGCTTTTTTTAGAATACCATAAATTTCCCAATCGAACAGTAAAAAATTGAATACTCTTCAAAAGTTCAATATACCTATTGAATAGTATTTTACCAACTACAGTTTCGTATCGAAAGTTAATTTGAAGGTAATTTTATCACTTTAGCTATAATTTTCTTAAGACTCGCAACCTCTCCGTTTCTACTATGCTCGACCATAGTGTCTTTTTAGTAGTCTTAGTTTTCAGATTCACAAAATGAAACAATCTAAGTTTGTAAATAGGCGATTTTGTATTATGCAAAATCCAACGTTTTTAAAATTCAACCTCTGAGTTTTTAGGCTTGGATTATTATGGAAAGTATAATACTATGACTTTGCTCAAATAAAATGTACATCAGTCATTATAGTATTACAACCATTGATCAAATACATAATATTATTGATCATAGCTAAAAAATGTACGTCAACGCTTTATTTTTTCAGCAGTGTTGTGAAAATACAAACTATACATACCAAAGTGTTTTTTTAGATGAGTATTGTCATTTAGCTGCCATTTTATATTATGCGTTTCACTTTTTTATAAGAAACTTCGGTATAAGATATTATAAAACATATTTTATTTTATTGAAAAAAAAAATCATATGGTCTTTTAGTTAGCAATAATTATATATTTATTAGCTTTCATTACAGAAATAATATGTTTCACTAAATAAAGTAGCTATTAATAGTAGGTAACATAACAAATCTGTTGAGTATTTAAAACTCTCAATAGCTGTACTGAATTTATTGAATTTTAGTTTAGCCGATATTTATTGACCCTTAGACTTGTATACATTACTGGTAGCTGAGAATCATACCGACCATACTTTTTGAAAAGCAACATTCGCCTTTTGTTTTGTCGTACACAAATCCCAGGGTGTGGTAGTACTCGTCGAGGAAGTTTAACTTCATTTTTTCGAAGAATGAACGATAAGCATCCTTGGACTCTTGTTGGCTTAATTTTGCATACTGTCTAAAAGACGCTTCCTGGTCTTTAGGTATCTGACAGTGATCGTTCAAGAAAGTCGTTGCGTAGTTGTTGACCGTTGCTAACCATTCGTCTATTTTGTTGAGATCCATCACAATTTCTTTATCGTCGTCGACAATTATAATCACAAACATCCAGTACGGTATCAAGGTGTTATCGTCGGATGGCTGGCAAGTGAAATGCGTTAGAAAATAATTGAACGCCACGTGTGCCTTATCGTGGACATCGGGTGAATAATTTTCTAAATACTTCAAAGCGCCGACCACGTGCTGAACGATATCAACAATAACTTCAATAGCCGTTTTCAGTAAATTCTTGAAATAAACATGCATATCAGATCCCACATTCGAGACACTTAAGGTGACCAGATCTCTTGTGCTGACCATGAGGGTTCTTAGCGTGATCGTGTAAAAGCAACTCAACATTTGAAAAACTTGACTGGCTCTACTTGCAGCGTTCTCGGGCGAGATGTTAGGTCTTAGCACCTCATCGATGGCCGAGGCGTACTTAGGGTTGCTGTTTTTTTTAATGATTTTCAAAATAGGCGGCCACCCCGGTTGAGCGATCAACGCTTTTATCGTGGCTTCGTCGGCTACTTGGCCAAAGACTACCGAACCGATTCTTCCAAAAGTGCACACGAGAAACAATAATGTCGAAATGTAATTCAAATGCATTGTTTCGGTGGTACGGTATACTGGTCGAGCGAGCAACTGAAATGTTAAGCGAAAGCCGAGAAAAATATGGTAACCAAAAAAAAAAAATAAAAAATTGTACGCAAGTCTACGCTATGTCTACTAATATACGTGTGCGCATTGTGCACGTATAGTTATATGTGTACTATTTTTTAACAAATACAAGATGTCATATTTTGTTATTTTTTTAGTTGATTTTATTAATGCCTCTGTACAGGATGATTTTAGATTCTATGCGGAGCACTTATTGGCTTTACAATGATGTGGGCTTTTTTCGTGTGGTATACACTTTTTTATTACTGCCACGGAAAAAAAGATACATAATTTGGTTATAGTAAATGATTGGATATTATAATGTTCTAGTTGGATCTATTGTAATACGGTCGCGCCAACTACACTATTTTAGACATTAGTTTGAAACACCAAACTAGTTTTGTTGTTTTTGAGTAGTCTCAAAAAAATAACTTTTGAAATATTTCAAAACACAATAAATCTTTTTTGGGTTACATATTACAAGAATATATTCTGCTATGTTTAATGGTGCAGGTTTTCCTAATTATATGTTGTGTTTACTATATTTTAAATAATATTAAAAACAAATTTATTTTTCTAGATCTTCTGGTAAGAAATCAAAATTAACAAATACCGTTCTGGCTACTGAGAACCTAAGCGATTCAATTGCCCGCATGTTAAAACCAAAGGCATTGTATTATGAAGAAAAACTAAAATTAAAACTAAGAGAGGTGGAGGCTAAAGAGGCTATAAGCAGAGCTGTTAAAAATTTTAATATCAAAACAAGATGAATAAATAACTTAATTAAATAACCCTTGCATTCTTAATATTAACCACGTATTGATTCAATTTTTTTTCACGTACTTGACACTTTATCTTAATAGTTATTTTAATTATTTTCCAATTCTAGGTTTTTTGTAAAATACATATAGGACATACGTGCCTCCCTATATTAACCATGAATTATGATTCTAATATTATATTCCTTATTTCCTTTTTTTCGCGCCATTATTGTTCATTTATTACTTTTATGAATGCAACGTTCCGGGTCATCGAGAACTGTCGACCTTCTCGATTTCGTCGGTACGCGTCTTAGGTGTTATTATTGTTGAATGGCGTTAAACGAATATAACAAATTATTATCCTTAAATTATTATCACTATAGGTACTCCAAAGTACTGTATTATTATTATTATTATGAATCCATATGTATATATATATATATATATATATATATATTAGATATTCCAACGTGGGGGGACGTTATAAAGAGGACCTCGTGTATATTATTTTAATGGTCGTCGTAAAAGTCGAGGCTTATCCATTAGCACATGTCTATTGCCCATCGTCTCCTGTGTGGAGTGTCCGTTTAAGTGAGAAGATCCATAAAACTTCTGTCGGTGTACTAATAACATTCTTGCGCATTTTTTTTTTTTTTTGTTATTTTTCACCGTTTTTTTTATATATATAATATGCATTTATTATCCGTGACAAATAATAATAATATGTGCCATTAAAATTTGGCTATTATATTATACGGTATTTATTGTTTTTTTTTTATTTGGGTAGGTTTAGTGTTCTTAATACTTAATACATTTTCTTTTAGTTCGCTGTAGATTATAAATTATAATAGTCTTTCGATGACAAATTCATACAGCCATGTACACTTTACTATATATACACATACACATATATGATATATATTGCAAGTAAACTACAACGTTAACCTGAAGAGACATAATACAATATTATTTCCTAATATTTTACTAAATTTCTTTTAAAAAAATTTTTTTTTTTTAATTTAACCCGAAGGACAACTTTGATCACGTGTAAAAAAATATAATAATACTAATATTTTTATTGTCATACACATCTCGTTGTTGTTAAAATGTACTTAAATAAAAAATAAAATCTATTATATACCTACACAATATAACATAATATTAAAAACCGTGTGAAAATAAAATGGGCAAATAAAGTATACTGTTTATTGTCGACAACGAGCAGTATTATAGCAGCAGTAGCTATAACATTGTTATAATATTGCCGTATAGCAATAAAATATTGGGATATAGTGAGTATGGTTTTAAAAAATATATCTACCTATATAAGTAGTCGTTTTTTTTATGTAATTCGAGCAGGTTAATAATAATCTTAATATAATAATAAAATATTAACAATTCAGTTACAAGTGAAACGATGATATTGAATTACATTTCAACATCATTACAACGAAATAACTCAATTAATTCAAACGGAACTCAATTAATATAAACTCCATTACCATTGACGGTAATGGAGTTTATATAAAATGTAATTTACTTGCTTTATCTTGTCTATCTGCTAACTACTTGTTGAGTTAAAAGTACAATTTAAATTCGATGTCTGTTAACTTGATTTTGTTAAAAGCTAATATTAACTGAACGAGTTAGGACGTCTACTTAGAATTAAAACAACTATTCATTACATTAGCCGTGTTGAACTAGTATAATTTGTCTTTTAATTATTAACTACATATTTTACAAGGACTGCTATAGAATAGTTTTTTTCATATTGGCTTGTATGGTGTAAGACATATATAACATGATAGTTTTATGATAAATATATTATCTCCAGAGATCGCATGGAATGCTAACACTTGTGCGCGATAAGACGGTAAGTGTGACGTGATCAAGTTAAGGTTGACTTTTAATTTAGCCGGGGCCTGTGAAAAATTCCATTTAAATAGGGTTTGCCCAGATTGTTTCATCGCATTGTAATAATTCTAATTGCAATACCTCAAACCGTCGCGTTCCATAGTACATGCACTTAACCGTTACAACGTGGCTATATCCCTATTGCTGCTGCACCATCTTCGGTGCGGTTCATTGTTGCACAAAACATGTTTTCTGTGCATTTTTTCCCTTTTTTTCCCCCCCCCCCTTTACACACAATACCGGACTTGTGTGGAACACAGAGGTCGGCGGCGCGAGTTTCGTTTAATTGGACGACACCGCATTTGCGCTGCATTTAATCCACTCGACGACAATAAAGAGCATTGTTTCTCGTCCGACACGACACGAACGGCAAAATCGGCACAATGTTATTACAATAATAATAATAATATTTCAATTAAAAATCGCCAATTTACCACCTGTTGATCGCTAGCCGGACGGTTCGCACTCAACAGGTGCGTGCCGCTCGGATATCAACAACGCCAAAGTCTACAACGTTACATTCGAATGTGTACAATAATAATAATAATAATAACACAATTATTTGGTATATAGTATTGTACACTGTCCCCGCCACGGTCTATCGTCCACTCGTGTAAAACGTGTAATATTCTTGGCCATTGTGTGTACCACTGACTGAGCAGTCGATCCGGATAAATCAGCGGTTCATATTTTGTTGGGATAAAATAATGTGCTAGCATCCGGCTAGTCAGTCCGGATGACTCGCCTTCTGTATAATAATATTATATTATGTTGAAACTACTTAATTATTGCACATGAATATAGTCACTGTAAACAGCTATTACTTGTGAAATGTAAATCATTCTCACCGTTTATTGCACGTCCGCAGTGGGTGAATCACACCGATTTTATAGTTTAAACGCGACGTGAATACCTTTATGTGCTATTACATTATTATTATTATATGTCTAAGAAAACCCCCTAATCCTAGGCCACATAAGTTATATTTTTTTTTCCCATACAATTTTATTACTCGCTAAACGACCGATGTACAAGTAATGTTAATTTTCATTTTACTACGATAAAAAAAAAAGTTCTCATTCTTCTGAAGGAAATGGCTAATGTTATTTCTTTAATGGGCTACCTATACTTTAGGAATATCACAACAAAATTTGCTACTAAACCGACTATTTCGCATTAAGCTGTTATTGTGTGTCATATTTTTAATTTCAAGAGTTTTATCCAGAGATGACCGCGCATTATATAGGATCGAGCGCCATTAAAACGCACTTCCGGCTTTTAACCCGGATAGGTTACTGCGGTGTGTACTTATGTACTTAAGATATTATGTCAATACGAAACAGATCCTACCCCACAGCAAGAGAGAGAGAGATTTCAATGAATAATTTTTATAGTTTAAAGGTCTACATCTGTAATCTTATGGTTTACACGGAATCGATTCGATAGGGTACCGTACACTTTAGGCTATTGTCTATTAAATATAAATGATATAGTTATTAATAATACATGCGTTAATATTGACAGTGTGCAGTTTAGCCCATATTGTGTACAGAACACTATATCCAACGAATGATTTTTATAGATCATTTTCCCAACCCTAGTGTTTATATTAAAAAAACAAACTACAATTATTATGCAATTAATACACAATACAAATATAATATATATTTTACAGACTTTAGTGCTCGTGCGCATCTGCGAAGAGATAACCGTATTATTGTAATTTACTGTATTATACTATCATTTATCTGGTTTAAGCGGTTGATCCTCCTTTTAAGTTTCGAGACTCGAGAAATCACATAAGCCCGTTATAAACGACGTTGGCTCAGTATTCGTTTAGTACTTATTTCCGTTTGCCCCTATGTCATAGTAATATTGGACAAACAGCTTTGGCATAATACTGTGTAAGCAAACAAAATATGCATTATACAAATAAAAAAAGTACCTACCTACAAGCAATTTGCTATAATAGTACTAATTTAGAGGTATACTAACTACACCATAATGGCAATTTTTTAATGCCAATCGAGAGCGAGACAGATAATTGTAACAAACTACTAAGTCGAAGGAATAGATAGAAAGATGAAAGAAACATAGTTTTTCGGGACTTGGTAAACTTTAGATCTCCAACTTGTTAACGCATTATATAAACATCTCCTCTGGTCGCCCCGTTGTCTAATCCAATTACTTTACAATATCCATTAACGATAGTGTATAACGTGCTGCGAGCAAATCAGATCATTTCTAGCCTGGACCGTCGTCGACAATGTTTGCTAAATTATACAAATCGAGCACTGATGTTATTGTATCGACCACAATAATAATATTGTATTGTAAACAGCCAGTGGCTAAAAACTAAAGCTTTGGTGTAACGTTACGTTTACCAACTCGAGTTCATTGAAAGGTAAATGAAAAGAAATTTGCGGTTCCCGACAACACGTGTTCCGTACACAAATTAATCATCCATGTACGTTTGGTTACATAACACTTTACCAACAAGGGGACGAGACAAGCGATTTGGCCATTTAATGGAAAACAATAGCTGTTATTCTTGTTTTTTTTTTTTTGTCAATGTCTCATATTCTCACAATCGGTCGGCTGATTAAAGGTGTATTTTTTTTCCACAGCTAGTCGAGAAGCCGCTTACATGTACGCCGTCATAAGTGCCGGGGTGACTTACGCGCTCATGGATGCCTGTAGCCGGGGCAACATATCCATTTGTGGCTGTGATTCTCATTATCCAGGTATGATGGACGTCGGACCGGCGGCCACGGCTTGGAAATGGGGAGGGTGCAGTGTGGACCTGGGCTTCGGTATGGGATTCGCCAGGAAGTTTCTGGACGCACAGGAATCGGACGCCAGCGATCCCAGAAGTCTGATGAACCTGCACAACAACAAAGCCGGCAGAAAGGTAACACACTAATTATAACGTTATAACTGAAAAGACAACGAGCGTAGCGGAGATGAGGATGCTAAGATGCACGAGTGGAGTGACTGGGGAGGATAGAATAAGAAATGAATACACAAGGGGTAGGGGGTCTAGGAGTTGCATCAATTGTGGGCAAAATGAGAGAGAACCGGTCGAGATGGTTGTGCAAGGCGAGTATAAAGAAAAGGTGTTTATTTACATGGTTTTCTGTGACTTTCAGATTGTCAAGATGTTGTTGAACACCGACTGCAAGTGTCACGGAGTGTCGGGCAGCTGCACGATGAAAACTTGCTGGCACAGTCTGCCCAATTTCCGGGACGTCGGCAAAGCGCTGATGAGGAAGTATTGGAAGGCGCGAGGTGTGTCGGCCGCGCCGGCTATCCCTCGGGCGCATCCGTCGCCCGTTCCCGCCGGCGGACTGCAGCGAACCCACGGCAAGAGGTCGTCCAGGAGACTTAAGCTCAAGCTGAGGTCGGCCAGGTCGGCGTCGGCCGCACAGGAAGAGCCCAAAATCACCGAGCTGGTGTACCTGGAACAATCGCCAAATTACTGCGACCGGGATTTCGGCACCGGGTCGTTGGGCACGCACGGCCGGACGTGTAACCGGACTTCCGAAGGTACTGTAGGACAAACCGACTTGAATGGACCAAAAAGACCAGGGGGGGGGGTTGGGGTGGTGGCAAAGGTCTAGAGGGAGCCTAAGCTTTCTGCGTGATCGCCGTTCTATCGACAACTTACTTTTGTCACTGATCTCAATGTCAGTTACCATTTTCCGTCATCTTTGTGGGAATTACAACCTTTTGCCACGTAAAAATATGTTTATAACAAAATATTAGAAGTCGAGTTGATAAAACAGAATCACAGATGTTTATAATATATATATATATATATCATTTTATACACCATAAAGCCCACGAAAATGGCGGACGTCGACTTCCATTCTCATCGCCAGTGGTCTTTGAAACCGAGTTTCCCCTTAAAAATCTTAAACTACTAATGAATAATTATATTAATAATAATAAATAATATAGACGTTTTTATCTGAATCAAAAAGTATATCTAATATATATCGATCTTTTCCTCGAAGAAAACACATTGGATCATGAACACATGTCGTATAATACATATTCACAAAGTAACATTTTCTTTGAACTTCATTTGTAATTCTGAAACTGAATCATACAGTTCAATTATTTATCTAGCATATTGTTTTAACGCACGGTACAATTTACGTTGCTATTAATTAACATTGGCCAAGTTCAAGAGTAATTAAGTATTTGATTAAATATAGTTAAATGATAAAGCGTACACAGATTTAAATAGTAAAATAGATTGGCGGCTGCGTCAATTGTCACAATTTTGTGGGATTTATCTTTGAATAACAATAGTAAAAATAGGGATCCAGAAAAATGATTATATAATTATTGAGTAATTGTTATCCAAAATTATTACAGATGATTTTATAAACGGTATAGTAATCGTCTAGCTACAATTGTATTGTATACAAAAAGTTAGATAATAACTTTTTAATTGCACTAGATTTTTTGCATAATATAATTATAGCATACAACAATATAGGCCGAAAAGTCAAGAGTCGGCTGGCAGCTAAAGTCGGTATGACCGCGTGTTAAAATACTGTTCAATGGCACTTCAGTGTTTCTAAAAGGAAATAATTTTACTTAATACTAATATGAAAAAAAAGTTGTGGGAAAAAGTCATGGCTCGTCATTACCTTCTCTATTGTATTAAAAAAACAATCTTTCACTCAGCATAATATTATTATGTTGTCTACATTATAATAATCATTATGAGACTTGAGTCGCACACTCTTGAAAATTAAATCTACTGGGTTATTAAAATTTTATGTTACAGTATTTTTTTTTTTTTGTTAAAAATTAAGTTATTGTTCAAATAATTACCCTATTAATTTAATAGTCGAATTAAATATATTATTTTAAAAGGTTATACATAATATATTAAGTGGTGACACTTAAGTCGGCAATTTAAAAAAAAATTGTTGTCATCTAAACACGATCTCGATAAACAGTAAATAGATAACTAAGTAGTAGAGTGTTTTGGCGGCCGGAGTAGTCTCGGGTTATCATCTCATAACTGATAACTCTATCTTATCAGTAATACTGGAGGCTTATCAGTGATAATGGATGGTTTTCATTTACACGTGAGGCGGTACTGATAAGGGAAGTACTGATGAGAATGAAATATGAGTGATAAGCCAATGTTATCACTGATAAGAGAGTGATATCAGTGGTAATGACCTGAGGTCCAAAACATCCTACTCCAAGTATATTTTTGCGCACACTGTGTTAAATTTTGTAATAAGATATTAACTTCGTTATTTTTTCACCCTTATTTAGGCACCGACGGATGTGGCTTAATGTGTTGCGGACGAGGGTACAACACTCATCAGTTCGTCAGGACCAAACAGTGTCGGTGTACGTTCTACTGGTGTTGTTATGTCAAGTGCGACACTTGCGTGGAACGCACCGAAGAATATACTTGTAAATGATAATTTATACATTAAACCGTAGTATTTAAATATGATAAAATATTCTAGTATTTTCTGTATAGGTATTATTGTACATTGATTTTTTTTTGAATTGTATTGCACAATAAACTTCGGACGCTCCTTCTTGTTATTATTATTATTATTATTTTTTTGTATTTTTTAGTTTTAAGTAATAAAAACCGAAATGGGAGTCGCTGCGATAACGTGAATATTGTTTTTTTTTTTTTTTTTTTTTGTAAACCGGGTCAAGTAGTCGTTTCGAACAGACTTTCAAGCATTCAGTTCGAAGTCGATCAATGGACGACAAAAAAACCGTACCATAGGAGTTTTGGCACGACGTTATATTATTAATCCAATAACATTCTGTGTTAAGTCCGCAAGATGGCTTATCCGGTTCAAAGGACCAAATTGTATACGCTCAGTGTCGGATGACTTTAACTAAAGTCTGAACAATTGTTTTGTGAAATATTCATTAACTATCAATGTATTACAAAATTGAAACTTATTTTTTTGGTACAAAAACCGAAACGCATCGTTCAATTTTGGATTTTTTTTTTACTTAATTCTAATCTAAACGATTCGAGTCCAAATTCATTGAGTTAAGTATTATGAAATGTATGTGTCACACAATACAACTAAACTAAATTTAAATTACACAAAAACTTACAATATAAAATGTTATCTGAAATGTTATTTGATCAATTTATTAAGGACTTTGTTGAATGAAGTGGTTATGTTATGTAAATTGTGATTGTATAAATCGAAATAATTACAGCAAAAAAATAATGTATTTTAGCAAGATACCCGAATACACAAACGTACCAAAATTGCCTATACAAAACGCCGTATAAGGTATGTTTATCACATATACATGAGTATCAATCAACTAAATTGCATGCTGTTATATGCTCGTTGATTTCGTGCCTAAATAATAAACTCTGAGAAATGACAAAAAAAAAAAATACTTCCAGTTAATATACTGTTATTGGTAACTAAATATTTTTTTGTACTCCTTAAAAATAGCTCATTAGCATAATATGTTACCAACATGTATAAACAAGATTAACGTTGACTCTTGTTGGTTAATTTTGTAATTGTATTTATATTGTATTAACTTATTGTACTTATTATTCCATTGGACACATAGGACACTGATGGGCTTGAAGTGACGCCAATTGCGTTCTGGCCATTTCCACTTGGTCGTCTTTCTCTTTCAACTGAACCATTTACAGTTTATCTTGTTGCAGTAGGAAAATCATTTCTGTGCAAGATTAGAGGGTTGCATGATATGATTTATATTGACAATATTGTTGAGTTACTCAAAGCTTTTAATCATAGTTGGATACAATTTTCGAAGCTGAACAATTGGACTATTTACCACTGAAATGTATGTGTGACGACGGGCGGTTAATGATATCACTTTCGGATACCGTATTTGTTTTTTTTTTTATTATAAAAATCTGTTACGAAAATATAATGATGGTTTTTGTAAATCAGTATTTCCATGTAAATTAAAAATATTAGCATATTTAATACATAAATCACCGCGCAATTTCAACGATTTTACTGAAATCTATATGGTGGCTAGACAAGCTTAGTCTTTTAATTGGAAACGTTACATTTGTTTTGAACAAGGGCAAAAATAGTAAATTACCAGATTCCATAAAATTGCCAACGACGGACAACACTATTTGTATGCACAACGAATGTGATTTTTTCTGATTTATCTCCTCCCTATCAGCCACGCAACTCCCAAGTGAGCACACATTATAATGCTGTTTTATGTTTCATTCAGAAACTGGCCAATTTTAATTTTTCTTAAATATTGCCTACATAAAACCCCTTAAAACCCACCTGCTTTCAATGCACCTGACGCGATATTCATATAATTCACTTGTGTTATACAGGCAAGTAAATTATATAAGATGATCAATGCGGGCAAGAGATACATTTTCACCGTATAAACAAGTAACGAGTCGAGAGTTAGTTGTATTAAAATATAGTATTATCTTCAATGAATCTCGATAGCAACTTAAGAGGCTTTTGCGAGAGATTGTTTACCGTGATATTGGTATAATATGTGAACCTTCGAGTTTTGGATTTATATTTTACTCTGTTGGTATTTGACATCCGTTACGACGGTATTGTCTGAAGTGGAAGATTTTTTTGGGGATTACAAGACAATTAAATAAATTCGCTTATCCTTTCGTTATTTGGAACATATTAAATCGACTCGCAGTAAGAGTACGGAAATAGTTATTATATTTTTCACTTAAAATAATATTGTATTCTAAGTCTGTTAAAAAAAACATTTTATACCCAATAACTACTAACAAAATAACAATAATAAGTTCATGTCTAAAATTGATTTCAAACAGCCTAATTATATTCATTGTAAAATGTGTAATTTTTTACACCGAGGCCAGATTAATCAGCAAAAAAAAAAGTCCTTTAAAATGTACCTACATAATATTCTCAGAGTTACAGTTGTTTTTTAGTAGTACCCTAAAAAATAAAAACATAATTTTGTAAGCATACAAAAATTCGAACAGTAGTTGGACTGACCCAGAAACGGTCAACAGCAAACGAATAAACAACAACTTATATTCAAGTCAAGTATATAATATTATGGTGGCTACATATTTGTTATTTTGACTTTACCTATTGCCTTTCTATCCGGCCAGTGACTTTATATGCGTTTATAAAATGTTTAATACAAAGTATATTAAACGATTTTCCTTCCTTCTTTCTTTATTTATTTTTTTCGGTCATTCACTATTTTTATATACCACGCTTTTGGTACTTCTTTAATATTAACACTCTGCCACTTGTTTATTGATCTTCCCCCCTGTTTGCTATTCAGTATCAGCTCTCCAATCTTCTTCGATATATTTTTATTTATTTCCCCTAGTGCTTCTTATATAATATTTTTTTTAATAAAAACCCTACTCGATGTTATATTATATATTGTCATTTGATTTTTTAGAAATAAAAATATAATTTCTTTTTTTACTTAGCTCATGTGAGCAATTATATTTAAAACATAATAATGCATACTATAATACTGTGTGTGTTTTATATAGTATATTTATTTTATTTTTTATTTTAATGAAATTAATAGTAAATTAAAAACTAATTTTATGAGGAGAAGAAAAAAATATGTTTGGACAAACTCTTCCTGATAGTTACTGTTGCTATATATGGTTAAATTTGGATCTATCCAAGTAAAATTACATGTTTTTAATTTGAAAAAAAAATAACTTACTTAAAGACAACAAATAACAACCCCTATTACTACACAAGAAAGTTTGTGATACATAAACCCTGTTATTGTATATTTTGCAGTTATAATAGTTTTATCAAAATTATTTCTAATGTTACAATCGTTACTTAATCATTAAAATATTATTACTGTACTATGTCTTTTCCTAAAACGATTCTTTTTTTATTTTTGAACAACCAGAGCAGACGATACAGAATCATAATAGAACCCGAATTTCTTGTGATGGTTTTGAAAGTTATGTACTTCTATTTTGAATTTCTCTTCTAGATGTTTTATGCAGTCTGTAGCGGAGTTGGTCGGTTCTAAAAGATTTTGAACGCCATAAGTAGTAGTAGACATACCCGTAGATCGTTCATGGACATCCAACAGCCAGCAAGATTCGTTTAAGAATAAGCGCAAATAATTTTCGACGAACGACAGGATGTTTTCAATCGTCTTCAACTCGTTTGTGACTAAATCTGAGTTTACATTTGGCAAATCGTTGTCGAACGCTGCACCGGAGAATGTTATGCTATCAGAGTATGATTTAATGTAATCCACTATGGTGGAAATATCCGTTTGGTACGGCGTTTGCGGAGACATTTGGTACAAATACAAAAAAACACATTTCATGGTCATTAACATAGCGTCACTGCTCTTGATAGATTGTAACACGGTTAAAAGACACCTGTGCGATAAATTGGAGTTTGAAATTTGTCTGCACTGAAGTCCTAGACCTCTGCCGACATCGACGTAATCCTTTAACGTTCCGGCGAACTTGCAGCTTAATGCCTGATGCACTTGTCGAAATTTACTGTCAAAGTTTTCCAACGTCACCGGTTGACGTTTAGCACCGCTTTTGAATAACTCGTTGAAGCTGTATCGTTCTCCAGACTCCAAGATGCTCAAATTGTTACCATAAACATCCGTCGATAGCCATTCGGGTTTTTCCAGAAGCTCGTTTAACTGGGTCGTACGTGCATTTGCCGATAAAGTTGTGCCCGGCAAGTGCGGGTGATTTTGAAACACAGGCTTTAAACTATCAAAATCTTTAGTATCAAATGCCAATGCGAACCCAAGACTGTTGTTTATCGTAGAAAAACCATTGGCCAACGTTTCTAGACCGGCGTTTATTTCTTTTATCGATTCTACGGGATCCTTGGTCTGATTTCTTGCAGCTGACTTGGTGGAGAACACGTCATCCAGCGCTCTAGAGTCTGCCTTAAACCTGCAATTACTTATGAAAAACATGCGCAGTAATCTCACTACATTGGATAAGACGTCTTGGATTTCTTGAATGTACACCGCCATTTTAAACAATTTGATTCCGTCGCCGTTTTCGTAGAAGAATTTAAAACCGTCCAGTGCTTTATTAAGCTTGTAGTGACTTTTGAAATACTCAATGATTTCCGTGACCTGTCGGTTGAAGGCGACGTCCGGAAGAAGCCTGTAAAAATATGACAGCGAAGCAATCATTGTCAAAGCGAATATTAGGTTGCCCTCTTGAATGTCTTGCACATAGTCTTCCATGCAATCGAATAACACATAAGGTTCCTTTATTCTTTTGCACTGTTGACCGTAACTTGCTTCGAAATTGCAAAATTTTGTGAACCAAAAAGCGTACTCACAACTCAACAGCTGATGTACACGCCGCATTTTTTCTTTTATGTCTTTCGGTTTCATCTTGTGGTCGCTAATCGTCTTGAATGCACCGCACTGCACGTCTTGATACATTCCGTTTTCCCAAATGTCCATTGGTTCCAGAGAGGACCAACCTTTGTTCCGCAGTAACAAGTTTATCTCGTGTATTAGTTTACTTGTGCTTGTCGTTTCTAAAAACAGAGTGCCCAAACACAACAGGAAAACACACAGGAAT